CGATATGTCTCTCAACATATATGGCGGACAAATAACTGTACTGTTGGGCCATAACGGCGCCGGAAAGACCACTACAATGAATATGATTACCGGTATATTCCCGCCCACTTCGGGCACAGCATATATCGGTGGTTATGATATCAGACAACAGACTCGGAGGGCTCGCAAAAGTCTTGGACTGTGCCCACAGGTGTGTGCATACATTGCTTGTTACTTATTAACATAACATTAAGTGTAATAAAAAATTTAATACAATGTTATTTTATAGGAAAACATTTTGTACAGTGAGTTGGATGTGAGCCAACACTTGAAACTGTACGCTGTGTTGAAGGGCTATCCCTGGGCTGATGTCAACAATGAAGTGCAAAAAATCACAGTTTTGGTTGACTTAACAGATAAGGCAAACACTATGTCTACAGATCTGTCCGGAGGTATGAAACGTAAGCTATCACTCGGTATTGCATTAATAGGCAATACAGAGATCCTAATACTGGATGAGCCGACCTCTGGTATGGATCCGGAGGCGCGAAGACATATGTGGGATGTCTTACAGAATATCAGATCCGAAAGGACTATACTATTGACCACTCATTACATGGAAGAGGCGGACGTGAGTCACACTTATTATTACCATAACTTAATTGTGATGTTTATAATAATGATATACTGTTGCCATCCCTGTCCAGGCATTGGCCGATCGGATCGCTATTATGAGTGAAGGAGAAGTGAAATGCTGTGGAAGTCCTATGTTTCTGAAGAAGGCGTTTGGCGCCGGATATCACCTCCGGATCGCTAAGAACCGGCACTTCGATAGCCAATCGGTGTTGAAAATAATCCGCAAAACAATGCCAAACGCGGACATTAAAAGTGAGATCAATTCGGAGATCATATACTCGTTGGAAGACAGCGACGAACGCGAGAGGAATGATACCCAAAGTGAAACCAATGGTCAACTGATCCAACTCTTCACGCATTTAGAGGCCAGAAAATACGAGTTAAACATTGAAACCTATGGCTTGACTGTCACCACAATGGAGGACGTCTTCCTACGAGTGGGCAATGAATATATGGACAACTCTTCGGCCGAAGAGTTGAGCAAAGCGTCCACTAATTCACTGCAAGACGCGGACCTATTGTCGCATAATATCTGTCGAAATACTGGTAATAAACTAAAAGCACAACAGTTTTGGGCACTTTTGCTGAAGCGGTTCCACTACGCGAAGAGGTATTGGCCAATGATTGTTCTCCAGACAGTACTTCCGGCCATACTATTCATGTGTATCTTATTGTTGGATCAGTCGCTGAAGAAGTCGACGGTACAGACCTCTACCAAAAACCTTGAGTTAAACTTGAAGTCAATCTACGGCCAGACCGAGGGTTTCATACAGTCGTCGAGTGCGGCGTTTAAGCCGTTGACCGATAAATACATTCAAGTGTCCAAAACTCAGGACATGACCGCAACAGAGATCACAGGTTTGTGTGTTTTTAATTATTTTATACTTTAATTAATAATTTTGATGTAATTATTAGTTTTTAATATTTGTAACTTATATTAAATTTATTTTTGTAATTTATTAATAATAATTTTATTTACAAATATACAGAAAACCCCAATACTTGGGCCCTATCTGGCAATAGAGGTGACGATATCAGCAAATATATCAACACTTATTTAGTCGGCGCTCAGATCAACGACACGGCCGACGACACCACGAATACCGGTGAACCCGAGCTAATATTGAAGCCCTGGTATAATCAGGAGGCCATACACTCACTCCCGGTGTCCATCAATTTCCTATACGAAACACTATTGAAACAGAAATTCAATAATAAAAAACCATCGATCACACTATACAACCATCCGGTATTATATGATCAAAGCGGAAATAAGATGACCATGATTAGTGTGACTATGATGGTCACGTGTCTACTGCTGGTGCCCCTAACGGTGCCATTTATCGGCGCCTCGTATGCATTGTTCCCAATCCATGAGCGCATCACTCAATCAAAACTATTGCAGTTAATGAATGGCATATCTGTTCACACGTTTTGGGCGGCGAGTTATCTCTTTGATATCATTAACCANGTGTGACTATGATGGTCACGTGTCTACTGCTGGTGCCCCTAACGGTGCCATTTATCGGCGCCTCGTATGCATTGTTCCCAATCCATGAGCGCATCACTCAATCAAAACTATTGCAGTTAATGAATGGCATATCTGTTCACACGTTTTGGGCGGCGAGTTATCTCTTTGATATCATTAACCACTTGTTGGCCAGTATTATACTCTTCATTGTATTTGCCATTTTTGATTTCGATAAAATCTTCATGGGCAATGGTAAGAATACAACTTGTTTATTTTGTTTTTATTTATTTGGTATTTCTGCGTAATAATATTAATAATTACAATTTACATGTATTTACCATGTAAAGCGAGCAACGCGGGCGGACTATTCATATTATTCCTGGCGTTTGGTCTGTCGGCCATACCGTTAGCCTATCTGTTCTCACTTCGACTCAAACAGCCCTCAACTGGTTATGCAGTTCTGGTCGTCGTATACCTGCTCTCAGGTATCGCTCTCTCATTGATTGTGTTCTTCGTGTCAATGCAAGCGCCGGATGCGGCCAACGCTCTCGAAGGTGTGGCCAATATTATGCCCGTCTATGCCATGAGTCACGGCATACAGAAGCTGTACAAACTGGGCTCGTTTGGTGACGCGTGTGGCAAACTGACCAGGGAGTATTTGGCCCGACAGTGCGACTATCAGAAAATTGGTGGCGAGACTGACGAGTATTGGGGCTGTTGTAGGACTCTATGCGAACCCACGCACGAGTGCTACGATCAGCGCAATGCTTTTCAATGGGGCAAATATGGTATGTGCGCTAGGTTACTTTCTTTACACATTATTAATTACAACCATCATCTTATCAACTTGTTTGGCACTAGATTATTTTTTAAATACATTTTATGTTTAATTCTTGATAATTATTTTAATTAATAATATAAAGCATGATTTATAATAGCATGATTAGCTTAATCATTATTGATAATAATAGTTGCATATGAATATATAAAAAAAAATTTAATATCTGAAATAATTAAAGTTTTATGTTTACATTTCTAACCTAGGTATTGTTACCGAATTGGTGTACCTAATTGTTACGGCAGTGGTCTATACGGCTCTCCTATCGCTAATTGAAGGCAATTTTCAACGATTAAAATACATGTTTAATAAGAACTCAAAGACAACGGCAGTGGTTAACAACGGGTACAGCACTGGACAGCAAAGTGTTGTGTTAGATGTGGGAAACAATGGCTATGGTATGCCATTCGCAGTCCAACAAATGGTAGACTCGGATGTTTTGGTTGAAAAGCAGCGCATCGATGGTCTGGTGGGCGCCGATAGTGTGACCAGTGATGCGATTGTTGTGCAAAATCTGTGCAAAACATTCAAAGCATTTCCAGCCGTCGATAACCTATCGTTTGGTGTCCATAAGGAGGAGTGTTTCGGACTGTTGGGAGTGAACGGCGCC